CAACTGGAATTTATTTTGAAAAATTAAAATATATAAAAATATTCTTATTGTAATTTATATTTCACAGACCTTAGTCATTATGGTAACAACTATGACATTATATGAAATAAAGAAGAAATCAAGTTTTGTTGATAGTGCAGTGTCTCCAACACAGTTGAAATCGTGTAACGGCTGTACTAGTTTCCTGTTTCTGTGATGCCCATGGTATAAGCTATGATAAACTCGGCAGCTTAAAGCGACCCCCACTTGTCAGCTTGCAGTCTGTAGGGCAGGAGTCCTGCCCGTGGCTTCGGCTGGGATGTATGCTCAGGGTCTCATGGGGCCCGATCCGGGGCCCTTTCTCCAGGCTCCTCCTGGAGCCCAAAAACCTATCCCGGTCCTTAGCAGACTGTGTTCAACAGTTAATGTTTTACCTATCAGCTGAAATAGAAACATCATCTAAAAGGAAACATGTCTTAATTATTGTGTACTATAGGTATTTAGCTTAATTACTAACATATAGTAAACATTAAATAAGTGTTAATAAATTCTAGAGAAATAGTATAGGTTTAAGGTAGACCAGTGGTTCTCAACTAGAGGTGATTTTACGCTTTCCCCCTCACCCCCAAGTAAAAGCCTTTTTTTTAATCCTCACCCGAGGATATTTTTCCATTTTTTGTACAGATAGAGTGGGAGGGAGAGAGAGAGAGAAACGTCGACGTGAAGGGACACATCAAGTGGCTGCCACCCGCCCGACCAACCAGGGCCGGGGACAAACTGCAACCGAAGTACGTGCCCTTAGCGGGAACCGAACCCGGGTCTCTCCGGACCGCAGGCCGACGCTCTAACCGCTGAGCCAAACTGGCCAGGGCCCAAGTAAAAGCCTTTTGGCAATGTATGGAGTCACTCTGATTGTCGCAACTCAAGGCAGGGATGGCGGGTGCTAATGGGGACTATGGATAAAGGTCAGGGATGCTGTAAATGCCCTGCAACACAGGACAGCTCCCTACTCACACCAAAAATATTATCCAGCCCATAATATTCACAGTGTTAAGGTGGCTCAGTTGGTTGGAGCATCATCCAGTACACCAAAAACGTTGTAGATTTGATTACCAGTCGGGGCACATACCTAGTTTTGGGTTCAATCCCCAGTTAGGGCATGTAAGGGAGGCAACCAATCGATGTTTCTCTCTCACATTGAGGTTTCTCTCTCCTTTCTTCTCTCTCTGAAAATCGGTAAACATATCCTTGGGTGAGAATTTAAAAAGTAGGTTAAGGCTGAGAAAACCTAAGCTAGATACATATAGAGAGAGTCAGAACTTGGATCCTTGGATAGAGAAAACAAGGAAAGAAGTCAGAATTGTGGAATTTCTTTAGTCACAAATTGGAAAACTAACAAGAGTTAAATTATGGCTCAAAATTTTACTGTTCATACACAATTCATGGTTGCCTTGGCAACCAGTACTCTATTATTTTAATGACAAGGGAAGAATATGGTGGTTGCAGGTGTGGTATATTTGCTCTGGTTAGTTTCACTGGAGAGAAGAGGAGTTAGGAAGAAATTTGTGCCTGAGACAAAATAAGTAAGTAAATAAATAAATAAATTGATCGATCAACCTGTGAAAGAGAAGAACATGACATCTTTATGAAGGGCAACTTGAACGCAGGTGCCAGAGAGTGTGTCTGTGTGTTGCTGCCATGTTGCTTCCCCTCTGACTCCGGTCAAATCAGTGTAGGACAGAAGTTGCCAGTGTGTGGTCCCTGGCACGGCAGCATCCACTAAGCCACGCAGAGTCTCACGTCCACTCCAGACCTGCTGAATCAGAAACCCTGTGGTTGCAGCCCAGCAAAACATATTTAACAAGCCCTCCAGGTGATTCTGATGCATGCACGTCGGTGATAAATAACATAGCTGCTTACTGGTTTTCCTTACTGGTCTCACTGACTGGTGTCATGGCCTGGAAGGGGCCCTGGGTAGGAAAAGGTGCATCTCACTGATGCTCTGTCAGGTGGCTGGGGTCTGAACCGGAACTGTGTCTTAGACTATTTGTCCTACAGATGCTATCGCCTGCAGTGCAGTAACACTCTACCAAAACCTTCGCTGTCCTTTGCATATATATATATTTTTTTTTTTTCTTTTTTTTTAAATAAAGAAGCACCAATACTCTTTTTTAAAAAAATATTTTTTCTTTATTGATTTTAGAGAGACACAGAAACATCGATGAGGGAGAACATCGATTGGCCACGTCCTGCATGCCCCTCGTTGGGGATTGTGCCCACACCCTGGGCATGTGCCCTGACTGGGAATCAAACCGGTGACCTCTTGGTGCATGGGTCAACACTCAACCACTGAGCCACTCCAGCTGGGTCATTGCATACATTAATCCACTTAACCTAGCAACATTAGTAAAGCAGACATTATAAATCTACTGTAAAAAAGTATTTATTTATTTATTTTAAAAATTTATCTTTATTGTTGAATATATTACAGATATTCTCCCTTTAGCCCCCCTATTGACACCCTCCACCTCACTCCCACCCCCACCCCAGGCCTTCACAGCACTGTGGTCTGTGTGCATGGGCTATGCATCCAGGCATGTAAATTCGTTGGTTGATCCCTTCCAGCCCTGCCCACCCCCCTTCCCTCTGAGATTCGTCAGTCTGTTCCACCCTTCCATGTCTCTGGATCTATTTTATTCATCAGTTTATTTTGTACATTAGATTCCACATATCAGTGAGATCAAGTGATACTTGTCTTTCTCTGACGGGCTTATAAATCCAATTTTAAAAGTGAGAAAACAGCCAAAACAGATGAAGGAACTCGCCTGCGGTCACTCAGCTAGCAGTTGCTCGGATGGGATTAGACATTCCACCCACCAGCCAACGTTCTCTGCTCTGTGCGACGTGATTTCCGGTGACGGAGGCACTTGTCAACCTGTGCGTTTTTATTAGGCCATAATCAGTCCCCTTCCATTAGATTTCCCAGAGTCCTCTATTTTAGTAAGGGAAGGACTCTACTGCCTTGTAGTATGCTGTGGCATAGTTATGATTTTATAGTTTGTTTTGTTAGTAACTACATATGATATAAAACTTTCTGTGAGAGTTGAGTCTATTTCTTAAGGGAACATTATTTTTTTTTTCATTTATGAGTATTGGTAACAATATATGAGAGAACAAAGTTGCTATTGGGTTTCAGAATAGTGTGTGAAAGTACCAGGATGTCCTGGCTGGGTGGCTCAGTTGGTTGGAGCATTGTCCCACATGCCAAAAGGGTTGCAGGTTTGATTTCCTGGTCAGGAGGCAACCAATGTCTGTCTGTCTGTCTGTCTGTCTGTCTCTCTCTCTCTCTCTTTCGTCCTTCCTCTCTCTAAAATCAATAAGCATATCCTCAGGTGAGGATTTTTAAAAGTACCGGGATGAATTAAACTAGCGTTTGCCTTTGTAAATCTTCTAGTTTTTTGTTTTTGTTTTTAGTCCTCACCCCAGGATATTCTTCCACTGATTTTCAGATAAAGTGAGAGAGAGAGAAACATCGATGTAAGAGACACTCTGACCCGTTGCCTCCCACACAACCCGATCAGAGCCGGGGATCAAACGGCAACCGAGATGTGTGCCCTTGACCAGAATTGAACCTGTGACTCTGGTCCATGGGAAGATGCTCTATTGCTGAGCCACACCAGCCTGGGCGCATCTTCTAGTCTTTACAGAAGCTCAGCAAGTCAACTTAGAACATGTTGTGAACAGTTTTTACAATAAAATACCTTCTTTTCAGTCCTAAAAACTAGTCATATCAGAACCTCATCTTGTCTTTATTTCAAAGAAAGATCTTGTTTTTTGGTAAAAATATAGAGAATCCAACTACCAGATATAAAGGGAATGAAAGAGACTGGAAAGAAGGTTCTTTGCAAAAGTCGTCGGGGAAAAGAGATGCTTGCATTGTTCAGACGACGGAGGGATTTATGACAAGCTTCTGGGTCACCCCCGTTGGAGAGGGAGAAAGGGAGCAATGTAGTGGGGGGGGGTCTGTGAGGAGGGTGCCCTCTTCCAGGAGAGCACCAGGGAAACGCCACGAAGAAAAGTGAACAAATCCAAACTATTACCTGCCTGAAAGGTTCCAGAGTAAATGTTCCAAAAGTATAATTTCCTTTTACAGAAGTGCACTCCATGAGATACTGTTTTGTTCTTCTCAAGAGTTACTACAGCCTTGGCCTGTTTGGCTCAGCGGTTAGAACGTTGGCCTGCGGTCCACAGAGACCCGGGTTCGGTTCCCGCTAAGGGCGCGTACCTCGGTTGCAGTTTGTCCCCGGCCCTGGTTGGTCGTGCGGGTGGCAGCCACTCGATGTGTCCCTTTCAAGTTGATGTTTCTTTCTCTCTCTCTCCCTCTTTCTCCCTCCCTCTCTATCTGAACAAAAAATAGAAAAAAGTCCTGGGGTGAGGATAAAAAAAAAAAAAAGAGTTACTACATACAGATGAATGGATAAAGAAGATGTGATATAAAATATTATTCAGGCTTAAAAAGGAAGAAAATCTTGTCCTTTGCAACAACATGGATGGAGCATGAGGGCATTATGCTAAGTGAAATAAGCCAGACAGAGAAAGACAATGCATTATTATCTCACTTGTATGTTGAATCTAAACAAACAAACAAACAAACACCCAAATTCATAGACATAGAGAACAGTGGTTGCAAGAGGGAGGGGGTAGGAAATGGGCAAAACAGGTGAAGGAAATCCAAAGACACAGAATTCTAGCTATGAAGTCATGAGAGGTCATCTATACTGTATTTCTGCAATTAATAATACTGTATTTTATATTTGAAGGTTGCTTTTGAGTAAATCTTAAAAGTTCTTGTCATAAGAAAAAATTTGTAAGTACGTGCAGTGATGGATATTAACTGGAATCATTGTGGTGATCATTTCACAATATATACAAACATAGAATCATTATGTTGCACATCTAAAATGAATATAATGCTATATGTCAATTACATCTCAATTAAAATAAAATGAGCTACTACATACCAGTTACTCGAAGTCTGTCTGTACCAACTAGAACTTCGCTTTCATCAACAGTAAACAGTGGTTTGCCTTCTTTGGAATTGATCTGAAACTGTTGACTCTGAACTTCTACCATTTTGGCATCTGAAAGATTAATAAAAACAGTATCATAAAATGTTTACTACATGCAATGTCATAATCTCTATTTTTATACATTCCATATTATCCAGCAATAACAAATTACTAAATTTTTAGGATTTGTTATCAATAGTTTTTTTTAAATTTTATGATTGATTTTTTAAGTTCTAAGCCTAAATCTATTATATGATTAAAGTTAATTTATCATACCTGTGTTAATCTATATAAAATATATGTATGTATAAATTATTTTAAAGTTTTTTTTTAGGTTTTTGACACTGCCAAAAATAATTTAATTCTGCCACTCATATTATTTAAATCTGCATCTTTTGGTATTAACCAAATAAGGATTTTGTATTCTTTTTTTTTTACCCTCACCCAAGGACATTTTTCCATTTTCTGTTCAGATACAGTGGGAGGGAGAGAGAGAGGGAGAGAGAAACATCAATGTGAAAGGGACACATCGAGTGGCTGCCTCCCGCTAGGGCCTGGGACAAACCAGGGCCGGGGACAAACTGTAACCACGGTATATGCCCTTAGTGGGAACTGAACCCGGGTCTCTGTGGACCGCAGCCAACGCTCTAACCGCTGAGCCAAACTGGCCAGGGCAGAATTTGTATTCTAAAATGTGAGATTTATGAAAGTCCATCTTATAAATGGCTCACTTTAATGGCTAAAATTAACCCAGAAAATGACGCACGCTCAGATTATTTCCTCTGCCCTTATCCTCGGAAGAGGTCCTCAGCTCTTACTCCATTGAAGAAACAGACATCACCATGGAAAAGCACCCTCATGTTCCTGCCCTTCCCCGGGGCATTTTTATCTTCCTCTCTCCTCTCTTTTTATTTTAGTGACAAAGGCATCACTTTCTCCTCCAAGTTTAATTCCTTCACATAAGCTTTAGACGACGGCCTTTCAAATCTTTACTGCATTCAGCAAATGTTTAGTCAAAACTGCTGTGGGCCAGGCACTGGGGATGCTGGAGCCCTCGTGGGGTGAACGAGACCTTGTACTCATCTTTTGTTCTGTAATTTAACTTTGTACTTCCAGTTTTTCTAACCCTGGAAGCATAATAGATTAATCTCTCTAGAATGCAGCTTTAAGCATTTCCTTTAGGAACTAGACGTGTTCTCTAGTTCTTTTGTATGTTAGCTTTATATGCTCATCTAGAAAAGTAAGTTTATTGAGAAAATAGATAGCTTTTCAATTAATACATGAATTAATTTTGGACATGGTCACCAGCATATTCCTAAATTATTTTATTAATTTATACCTCAAAATGCTTCAATGATTCTTCACGTGTGTGTGTGTGTGGGGGGGGGGGGGTGACTTGTAAAGCAGAAGTCATTTTACCCATTTCATCTTCTTTCTCTGAAGGCTGCCTGTCTTAGTTGTTCGGACTGTTGACTACACTTTTGCTCTGAGCTTTCTGCCGGACTCGGTCGCCCAGTGTTTCAGCCTCATCCTTACTTCTGGGTCACTGATACATCTTCTATATAAACACTGATTTGCAGTAAATGATGAATGTAAAGTTATCTGAGTTTAAAATTAAGAGGAACAAAACCCAAAATAACTTACCCAGCAAGAGTTCAAAGAGTTTTGCTCATTGGAGGTTCATATAACACTTTTAGGAGGTTTTATTAAGTTAAAGTGTTAAATTAATGACTCTTTTGTAATCATTATAAATGAAAGTAGCTGCATAATTTTTATTAGTAACCATACAAACACTTGCTGAGATAAAAGAAAATGCGGGAAAGTGAATCCATTCTGTTCAACACAAACATCGCGTGGTGTTCTTATGTTCAAGGACCTGCACTATGAAAACTGAGGATAGATAAGTGAGCGAGATGTAACTCACAACTTATTAAAGTTCATAGTTAGTAGAATAAAAAAAGCATGTAAGTTTCGGTCCAGTACACTTCGATGTGTGACATGATACAGGCATGGGGAGAGTCAGTGAGAACCTCATGTCCACCCCCGGGGCCGGGAACAGAACCCGGGGGAGATGATGCGCGCTCACCTCGAAGACTCCATGGTCCCCGATGAGGAGAGAAGGTTGATGAGGATTAAAGCTCCAGGGAGAGCCTGCTGTTTGACTGAAGGATAGTGGGGAATACAATTTCACCCTCATTTTATTAAAACATATAGACATTGAATGTTAAATTTAAATATATTTTTCACTTCGGAAGAAATTGTTCTCCATTGATAACAAGCCCATAATAAGCAGAGATAATTACCTCTTAAATAATTAAGTTTGTAATTAATCTTTTAATTTTTATTAATATTATACTAGCTTTTATTACCTACTGGACATGGATTAAAGCTGAGCAAATAATCTTTTTTGGTAGAAGAGTTCTTTGAGAAACAGAATTTAAATTCTATCTTGGTGATAAATGAAAGACCTATCTGGTAAAATTAACTTTTAATGTAAAGATTTTGTATAAACAAAGAAATAAATAAAACATAAAGGAAATAAATAAACGGAGGTTTTATAATCTGATGAATTTGTGAAATTGGCTTAAAGGTTTTTCTAGTGAAAATACAATCAAATTCTTCTTGTCATACAATATGCCTCATGAACAGCCCTCCCCACTCCACTGTGATGGCTTGAATTTAAGATGCCATCATTTAAAAACAAATATCAAGCCCTGCAAACCCATCTGAGTACAACTGGCATACTTCCACGGTTCTTATTATTAAGCTAACCAGAATGGGTTTCTGTTATTTGAAAAAAATAAAAATAAATAACTATAGTAACCAGAGCTGAATTTATAAATGGTAAGAGTCCGTTATTATTTTCTATGACTTGATACCTTTTAGTTCAAGGAGGTCAAATATATGGTGACAGAAGATGATTTGACTTTGGGTGGTGGGCACACAATGCAATATGAAGATCATGTATCATAGAAATGTGCATTTGAAACCTACATAGTCTTATTAACCAATGTCATCCAGTAAATTTAATAAAATAAAAAGAAAAAATATAGTTCCATGATTTGAAATGCTAGCTATTAGTATTTGCTTTTCAGTGCTTGATTTCTTTTGGAATTTAAGACTTTTGGTTTTGACTATATTTATTGCCATATTTTTCAGTGGTTTAGTGATAAATAATTATTCGTTTAATTAAATGGGATTAATTTGGCTAGTTCACATAAGTTATACTTTAATACCTGGATTGGTTAAATCTAACTTTTTTAGAAAATGTGAAGCTGGGGTGACTGTGGGAAGTCATCTACTGAAAATGATCTGCGATTTGGCAAGCTGAGTTACATTCCCTCTCTCAGGGTTATCAGTGTGGGAGGCTTTCCAACCAAAGATTTAATAGACATCACTAATTCTAGTGATTAGGCAGGAAACTAAGGTTAAAACTCAAGATTTTAGGCTAACAGTTTAAACCAAAGTAATTGCAATGGGAAACTTTTTTTTCTTTTTGAGTCAGTTCTTAGTCAGAAATGGTAACTATTTGCAACAAGTAGAACAGTTCCTGACATGCCTGCTGTAGGGAATCTGGTCAGAGGGCCGGGGAAGCACCCCGGCCCGAGAGGCAAGTCCTGGCTCAGGCCTGGTCTGGCTTTTGACTAATGAGTTGAGCCTCTTGAGCAGATTAGCTTTTCAGTGCTTCAGTTTTTTTCATTCATAAAATTGCTAACAATCTTACATTATCTCTAACTCCCTTGTATGATTCATGAAAATCCACATTTAACCAAAAATTAAGTGAGGAAATGAAGATTTGTTTTAAATTATTTTTTAAGAATATAATAGGAGTTTATTTTTTTTAACTTTTGGAATTCCTAAGAAATAATAACATTTATATGTTATTAATTACTTGGCAGCATATAGAAATTAGTATGGAGGCATTCAGTAAATGTTTGTTGAATAAATGACAAAAATGGGCAAAAATCCCTGAAACATCTAAAAGCTACATTCATTTAAAGAATTTTAAGAAATGATTGTAAGGGTAACTTATAATACTATATAATTAATCAAGAACATATGATTTAGCCAAGTTTCAAAAACGTGTGCTCAAGTCAGGTTCCTCTCTAGATCCACCAAGAATTTCATGGACATAGTGATCAAACAAAGTTCTAAGCAAAAGAGAAATACAATTAATTATTTAAAATAAATTATAAAGATTAAAACAGAACATAAAATACGAAGTTCTTGTATTGGCATAATAAAAAGGAATCATCAGGCTAATATATGGCTGTATTTTCCATGTAACATTATTCTGTTTGTAAAATCAGCCTTTTGAAGAGTGTTTTTCCCACTTCCGGTCGTGAGTAGGCGCCAGGCCAGCGGGGTCCCCGGGCTCGGGTCCTGCAGAGTGAAGACCGGTTGAAGGCTGGGCAGAGCCTGCGCGGTTCGCTGCCCGGGCGGGGCTGCGTGCAGGAAGCGTGGGCGGGTGTACCGACCCCGAACAGACTCCTCACCAGGGACGGGCTCACGGAAGACCCCGAGCGACGCGGTCCTACCAGAAGCCTTGCCATTGACGACAGAGGGGGGCCGTGCGACCTGCCGGAGGGGCTACGGCACGGAGAGGACGCGCGACAGCACCTGTTGGCTGGCCCGTGGAAGGGCCGCCGAGGCCTGCGGACGGTGGGCCCAGAGCAGAACCCCCCGCCAGTTGTCTCCACCTGTTTCTTTCTGCAACCCCATTTTCTCTCACCATTTCTTACAGTACACTCAGACACACACACACACAGACACACACACACACAGAGACAGACACACACACAGACACACACACACACACACACCCCAAACAAAAAGAAACACTGAAAGTTACCAGTTTGTGTTGGCAGTGTCTCTCTCATCTATTTCCCATAATCAAAAAGGCCATCCAATTCTTAGATTTAGCAAACCTGTATGACGTTGATAGTGTAGAGGATATAAGCACGTTTCTTTTACCAGCTGGTTTGCTCTTTTGTTATTTCTTTTATCCATATTTTTTCACCTGAATCCTTTTTCTCACTGTGCAAGATCCCATGTGACCTCGCTCCCATGTCACCTGGTTCTCTGGTCCTAGCGGACTGGATAGATGTACATAGCCCACCCAAGGGCAGTTGGTTGAAGATTAGGTGGGCCTCTTAGGATACTTTGTTGTGAATTTAGAATTCATGAAATTGAAGACTAAGTTGGTTGGTATTGAGAACTACAGCCAATCAGATGAAGAACCAGAGTCTCTGGTCCTGGAGGTTTTATAGAGTTGGAACATGTGCACACGTAGTACCCAAGGGAAAGAGGTAGGCAAATATACACTGGAAAGGAGGGGTACATGGCAGAGAGGGGGAGAAGGACAAACGGGGGCAGAGGAGTGGGGAGAGGGAGAGAACAGTTTTGGCTCAGCCCTGGTCTCTGTTCTCCTGAGGCCAACTACTTTGCTTACTTTCCTTTTGTCTCCGTGAGATTCTTTTGTATCCTGCAATAATCATTATGTTTCTTATGGTATGTTCCTCTGTTTCTTGGAATCAAAATAACTTTAATTAAAATACTTTAGACTGTTATTCTCTGCGGTCAACACAGCATGATATTTTTCTAAATTCATACATTGGTTGTTCCTAAATAACTTTGAGTTCTTGAGAAGAAAAAATGAACGTCCATTCAGCACGTTGTTCACGGACCACACACATGCAAAGCATCGTGCTGAAGCCTGACTCACCCACTTTCAATCTGCCTGTGACCTCGCCTTCGGAGTTGCGGGCATTCACGGTCACGTTCCGAGCAGACTGCAGGAGCAGACCCGAGTCCTAGAAAGGGAGTTAAGAAGTCAACCTAATGTATACTGCTTAAAGTGATTACATTTTCTATTTGTATACAAATTTAAGATTTATATAAAATAGTTTCCCCATAGTCACAGATCCTGTGAGCCTAATAATTGTTTTTATGACATTATTTTAAAACCCTGCATTATATTATGTTAAGGGTAAATATTTTAACTTTTTTCATAAATTACAATAATCTTATACTTCTGTATATTGGCTACAATGTGCCAAGTCAGTTCTCAAGGTGGAGATCTAAAACAATCAAGTTCTTTTTTTTAAACAATCAAGTTTCAATGTGTGCTGTTTTTCTTTTCCAAAGAATTGAAATTCCATTTCTTCTTATTTATATTTAGGACATGATCTATTTTAAGGAGATAAATCAGAGAGTGGTTAGCTCTTCTATAACAAATACCATGTTACATTTAAAATGCAAAGGCTTCTCACAACTGCAAAAAGAGCTTTTAAAATTTCTTGGATGCCTATTTCTTTGAGTTTTTTTGTTGGACGATGAAGTGGCTTTAGTGGGGAGTTTTGTTTTACGGAGACAGTTCTCTTCAGAAGGGGTGCAGAAATCTGGCTATTGGATTCAAGGGACTTTATGGTTCACTCAAAGGGAACCAAATAACTTCCAAAGTTGTGGGGAAAATGTGATTTTTTCAGAAGTGAAGAAGTTTTAGGAGTGCTTGGGAATTTGATCTAGCAGGTCAGAAATTCTCCAACTTGCTTTGTGGGAGCAGATGGATTTACCAGCCTTTCATGGTTTATCTAATGATGTCACCTTAATTCTTGTTTTTGAATTGTCATAAAATACCATGATAAGAGTTAAAATTTTACCTACAATTTTAGCATCTGTCTTCTTATGTTATCCTCCATATTTGAAGTAGGTACCATTACTTCTAATATATAGATGAGGAAATTGAGTTCAAAGAGACTAAATTACAGTTCACTCAAAGTCACAGCTAGCAAGTGAGAGTCATGACAGACCCCAACCTTTAGCTGCAACATCCATGCCCTTTTCTCCTGTTCCCCTAGAGAGGGAGGACAGCGCTCAGGTTAGAGTGGTGAGGCCGTCCTGTGCCTGGACAGCATAAGCTCTTCTGGGAACCACTCTGCTTGTCTGAGCCGACGGGCATGCTCAAACCTTTTCTTTCTCTGCCTTTCACTGCAGGAGAGGAAAAGCTAATTGCTTTCTCAGCTTGTCTTGCAGCTAGGGGACCCCAAGTGACACAGTTGTGCTCAATGAGACATAAACCAAAATCTGCTGAGAGTGGGGTGGGGGTTCTGAGCAAGCTTTTGCTTTCCTGATGAAAAGAATGTGTGCATTGTCTTGGCCCATTTCCCTGGCCACATGCCTTCTAGCAGACGTCCAGTGACCTGGGGAAGGCTGGAGGGCGGCTCCAACACTGGTCAGTGCTGAGCTGATGTCCTAGCTGCCCCTTCTAGCTTCTACTTATGTGAGAATACAAGTTCTCACTACTTTATACCACTACTAGCTAGGTTTTCTGTTATACCATAAAGCAGACATTGCTCTGTAACAATATTAACAACAAAATGAGAGATATAAATATTCCCTCTAGTACTTAAAAAAAGCTCTTATATTGAATTGTACTTGTGCTTTAATCTAGATTTTTGATAAGTGCCTTGAAACAATGAACAGATACATTTTTTTAAAACTATAACGTTTATTGTGCATTTCCATGTTCCAGGTGAGGAATCTGAGATCTAAAAATTGTGAATGAGTTTTTAGTTTTCATAATTAGCTAGTAATATCCTTTTGACAAATTTTATGTCATTTGTAAAATGACAGCAAGGTAGAAAGTAAATATTTAATTTTTCCATTCATCTGAATTGAATTCGGATTGTATTTATTAGACAAAAACAATGTTTCATTCACCACTATATTTAGCCTTAGGAAGCAGATGAAACAGCCAAAGGACATGGTGTGACTTAGAGAAGGAGCTATACGAAAGATGCACAGAAAGACCCTTCAACATGTAAGGATGTGTCGGTAGGGCCCAATATAGATCCCAGCTGCCTGGAGAGTTCTCAATAACCCCTCTGGCCACTTCATGGATGAATATAATTGAACTAGTACTTCAGATTTGAACCTATATGGGATTGGCAGAGGCTTAGTTAGTTGTTGAAACAGCATGTGTATGTTAGGAAGTTTGCCAAATAGTCTGTGGAAAAAATATATTTATTGACATGAAGTTATTCACAATATTCTCTTACCCTTCTTTGAATGTCTGGAGGATCCCTAGGTGGTGCCCCTCTACAATTTCACATCAGTCATTTGTGTCCTCTCTTTTCAGTGGTTAATCTTGGTAGAGGTTGATCAGTTTTGACTAATCTGAAAGGAGTGTTTGATTTCGTTGATTTCTCTATTGCTTTTATGTTTTCTACTTTCTTAAAGTTTTGTTCTTTCATTTCTTCTCTTATCTTTGGTTTAATTTGTTTTTTGCTTTCTAGTTTTTCAAGGTGTATGCAGAAGTCATTGATGTTCTTTTTTCTAATATAGGCATTTAGTACCATAAGTTTTCCCCTAAGCACTACTTTTACTACATCCTCCCAAATTTAATATATTATTTAAAAAATTTTAAATTAGAGCCCTGGCCGGTTTGGCTCAGCGGTTAGAGCGTCGGCCTGCGGTCCAGAGAGACCCGGGTTCGGTTCCCGCTAAGGGCATGTGCTTCGGTTGCAGTTTGTCCCCGGCCCTGGTCGGTCGTGTGGGTGGCAGCCACTCGATGTGTCCCTTCATGTCAATGTTTCTCTCTCTCTCTGTTCCTCTCTCTCCCTCCCACTTTACCTGAACAAAAAATGGAAAAATGTCCTCGGGTGAGGATAAAAAAAAAAAAAAAAATTTAAATTAGAGGAGGAAAAATGGCGGCGGAGTGAACGGAGCTACACAGACCGTCTCCCAGGACCAAACTGGAATTACAACTATAACACAGACAAATCGACGGGAAAAAGCAACAGAGAAGCAGCCTGGAGGACCATACAACGAGGGACGCTGACTCCATCCCGGTAGGCTTGCGAAGGCGCGAGACGGGGCTGGGAGCGCACGGTCGGCAGCTCGGCAGCGGCCTCAGCTGGGAGCAGCGCCCTCGGGTCACACTCCCAGGCGGCCCCACAGCGCAGCCGGGACAGAGGCTGAAACAGCCACAGCCACTCACCTTGGGCTCCGGCGGAGGGAGGGCGGACTGGACTGGAGCTGTGTGGGGACACTCGGGATCTGGAGGGTGCTCAGAGCTTTGGCTGAGTGCAGCCACGCAGGACGGTGGCCACATTGCTCCTTCCCAGGGCTCTGAGAGAGGCAGCAGCCCCTCCCTCGGAGATCCAACCCCACCCTGTGGGCCATTGAAGTGCTAATTGAGGCTCACTAACAACCAGCGTCTGCCCCCCCCTCGTGAAAGCCCCTTGTGCTAAGCACCTGAGGGAGCTTTTCAATCAACTGACAACCCAAAACTCATCAAGTAACCTCGACTGCCAGCCTCCAGGCAAAAAGCTAGAGGATAACAGTACCTTTCCTGGGCCGGCAACTTTAACCAAGAAAGTAAGACTTGACAGTGGTGTTCAACGTGGGTCCTCCCTCGCTCATCTAAACACAGGAGAGGGAGCCACAAACAGCAGAACACCAACACCCACAGGGAAAACTTGATAGGCTCCAAAGCCCACAGTGATAGCCAAAATGGTGAAACACAGAAACAGAAGCCAAATGAAAGAGCAAGAGACCTCCACCGAAGATGAGATCAATGTGGAGCAATTAGGCATGTTAACAGAGCTAGAATTCAGAGCCATGATCTTAAGGAAGCTGAACAGCATGAGTAAGAACGTAGAGACACTGAAAATAAGCCAATTGGAAATTAAAAACCAACAAGAAGAGATAAAAAATGACATATCAGAAATGAAAAACACATTGGAAGGTTTAAAAAGCAGAGTAGAGGAAGCTGAGGACCGGATCAGTGAATTAGAGGACAGGGTAGAAAAAATCAACCAATCAGAAAAACAAAAGGAAAAACTATTAAAAAACAGGAAGACAGCTTAAGAGAACTGTGGGACAACTGGAAACGTAATAATATTTGCATCATAGGAGTCCCTGAAGAAGAAGAAAATGAGCAAAGGATAAAGAATATATTCAAAAAAATAGTGACAGAAAACTTCCCTAATTTGGTGAAGGAAGAAGGCATTCAAGTTCAAGAAGCACAGAGAGTCCCAAGTAAGAAGAACCCAAACAGGCCCACACCAAGACACATAGTAATTAAAATGCCACAAATTAAAGACAAAGAGAGAATCCTAAAAGCAGCAAGAGATAAGCAACGGGTTACCTACAAAGGGAACCCCATAAAGCTCTCAGCTGACTTCTCACAAGAAACACTACAGGCCAGAAGAGAATGGCATGAAGTAATCAAAGTCATGAAAAACAAGAATCTGAATCCAAGACTACTCTACCCAGCAAGGTTATCATTCAAAATAGAAGATCAAATAAAGAGCTTCCCAGACAAAAAAACGCTAAGGGAATACATTAGCACCAAACCAGCACTGCAACAAATGTTAAAAGGACTGCTGTAATTACCAGAAGAAATAGGAAGAAAAATAGAACCACACTAAACAAAAATGGCAATAAATAAGTACATATAAATAATCACCTTAAACGTAAATGGATTGAATGCTCCCATAAAAAGACACAGAGTAGCTGATTGGATAAGAAAGCATGACTCATCTATATGTTATTTACAAGAGACCCACCTCTCAACAAAAGACTCACATAGGTTGAAAGTGAAGAGACGGAAAAAATTTTCCAAGCAAATGGAAAGCAAAAAAAAGCTGGGGTAGCAATTCTCATATCTGATCAAATAGATTTCAAAATGAAGACCATAACTAGAGACAAAGAAGGCCACTATATAATATTAAAAGGATCTATCCAACAAGAAGATATAACCTTAATAAACATATATGCATCCAATATAGGAGCACCAAAATATATT